GGGGGGGGATATAAGCCACATCAAAACAAACAAACAAACACAAAACCAAACCAAACAAACAAAACCCCCCAACACACACAGAGGGGAAAAAAAACCCACAAACAAAAAAGAAAAAAAACCCACCCAACCACAAACCAGCAACTGCTATCACTCGTTCATCTTATGGTGGGAAGACAGGCAATTATGGAACCTGAAGTCTTTTCAGACCTCCACAGAATACAAATATTTTGTGAAAGTACCAAAGAAATATCTTTTTTATGTTATTATCTGTCACATTTTTGTCCAGGGCTAACACATAAGAGAGAGAGAGAGAGATTGATTGCTTTTGTGAGAAGCGTTTTTCACTTGCCTTAATTTGATTGTTTTTTCTTAAAAGCTCACAAAGAATGAAAGTCAAGATATGCAACTACCTAAACTGCCTCACGTGGCAGGAAATTACTGGAGAAGTTTACATATATTTACAAATAAATATCTGGAGGAAATAATGGGATCAGACCTAGGATTTTAATAGTGGTGCATATTTGGAAGATGTACCATCACAGCTCAGCACACCTGTGAGGTAGAAGTTTGAAGTCTCCACTTTGCAGTTGAGAAATCAAGGAAAAATGACACAATTGCATTCCTTACCCACTATCACAAACACAAGGGACATATTTCATACACAGGCGCTCCTGGCGACAACCAAATTCTGAACTCACTAGCAAAAACCTTGATTTATTCCACAGGCTTTCCTCCTCCTCAAGAAATGTTGATTCTTGCTCTTTAACCATAAACATGAAAGCTTGCAGTTAAAGGTATCCTTTACTCTAAATGAACTGAACATGTTGTCTGTGCACAGAACAGACACAACTTTTAAAACCACTAAACATAGATCTACTCAGTTTCTTAATTTTTAAGAGGTTACAATAAAAAACAATCAATGACATGCCTCATAATTTGGGTTTATAACGGCATCAAGCAGAGACTGGACAAAGACTTATAGTGAAGAAAAGCAGTATTTGAAAAAACTTTTATTTCAACACAACTACTGTCAATTTGCTCAGGACATTATTCTAAACAATCTTTATTGAACAATATAGTAAAAAAAAATAATGGGTTTATTGGAAGAAAAAAAATCAGGACCTCTCTATGGCTACATCAAGTGTACAGACTGCTTCAGGTCACCATGGCCCAAATACACAAGAAGAACTAGTTTTTGGGAAGTTGGATGCAGAATGGAGTACTGACATCTTCCTTGCTGTGAGCAGGGAGAGATGAAGCTCCTAAGGCAACTCAAGCATACTCATTCAGACTCTGAAACCAAAATGGCCCTGGACACAGGCTTACGCAGAGGTTCAGCTCTGACAGCAGAGGCAGTTCTGTCAATGTGCAGTAGCACATTTCTCCCAGCATCGCTGCCGGTGCCTGCAGACAGACTCCTACACCTCTACATGCGAGATACAAACCAGTTCTCAACCAGAAGCCAGATATATAATGTTAGAAAAACACTGACTGCAAACAAACATGGTATTACTGTCTTACAATCCCCTAAGTGTTGTACTTCAGTGTCTGGAATTTGCTCCTACTCTTGTTTTGGATTAGACCTTATATCTTTCAAGATTTCGGCAGTGTCTTAGCCTCCTGCATCAGTTTTATAATCCCAGATAGGAAGAGAACATCTTTTTTACCCAGCTGTCAAACCTATTTTGCACTTTGAAATGAACTGTTCTAACCAGGAAAGAAAACATTATCTCTGCACCTGTGAAAGAAGCTACAGCTCCAAAAGGCTTATCATTTCAGTGCTCACTCCAGGTAATTAGTTAATAATTCTCTATTGTTGGATGTTCCTAGTTTCTTCAAAACTTCAGCAACAGAAGTATTTCAGTATTATAATTTAAATTATAAAAGCTTTATTATAATATACTACAATTAAGCTTTTATGCAAGTTTTTCTAATTACAAGTTTAAATAAATTATTTACAGACATATTAAAAAAAACTTAATTGAAACAATTTTTTGTTCAGAGAGCCCAAGTACCTAAAAATCATCAAACCATATATTGATACTGATGGTTAAAAGAAATATGCACAGCACGTCTATTGAAAAAGTGTGTTGGCAGTACTGAACACGTACACCATGTACCACTTAAATTTAATAGACTAAATCCTGCTTGATATTAATACGGAAAATGCGCACAAAAAGGCTCCCAGCCAATGAAGGTTTCTGCAGGTGAATGATCTTATCTTCCTCTGAACCAGAATTGGTAGAAAGATAAGCAATTCGATGACTATTTATTATCTGTAATAGATCAGTGCTCCCTGGCGCGAGGCACCGTACAAACACATGGTGAGGGGCAGCTCCTTTCCCAGAATTTTTATTACAGAAGCACAAATACTGGCTGCTGACCGCAACGTAGCGTTCGGCAGCCCTA